TGCCCATTACTAGGAAATTTTTCTAATAGTCAGAATGTATACCTCACAGGAAGGAGAAAATAAATTACTTGAATATAACCTAGTGATTTATTGGCACATTAACTTGTTTACTTTCCTAACCATAGAAGTTAAGGGATGGGGAGAAGAGGGAAGAAAGGAGGAGAAGAGGGGAGGGAAAATTGATGCGGAGAGATGGAGGGAAGGCAAGGTGAAGGGTACTGGAGAGAGAGGAGTGATACAAGATAGTTGGAAGAAAGGTAGTCAGGGACAAACACACCCCCACCCCCAAGGCCTAAGAGGAAACCACCCTTAAAAGGATTTTACACCACTCTGGAAGGAGCCCTCCACCCTTTCCTATGTGACAAAAAACTTATTGGATGACAGACACTTGGATAGAGCGTTAGTCAGATTAAAACAGTCCATCAACAAGTCCATAAAAAAAACCTAGATCTAAAAACCAAATCGGCAACCATCTTGGGTCCCTTGTCTCTTTGGGCGCTTTGTACTAGTACTCAATAAACTTTGCTTTACTATCACTCACTCAATGAGTCTTGCTTTACTGCCCACCATTCTTCATTCTAAGAAGCAATAAGACCAAGAACTGCAGACACCAAAAGAAAAGAAATCCTATAAACAGGAGGAGAGAAGGAGGAGGGAATGATAAGGGGGAGGGAAGAGAAGTGAAGACAGAAGGAAAGAGGAAAGGAGAAAGTAAAGGTAAGGAAGGAAAGAGGAGGGGAGAAGGAGAGGGGAAAGAAAAGAACGGAGGAGAGGGATTTTTAGGTGTGTATGTGTGTGCTGTCCTATATATTATCCTCTTTCCACATAAAGAAGATTCTGCATTCCCTGGCTTCCGAATAGAAATTGCTTGGTGAGAACATCCTGACCTGGCTTTTGAGAAAGATTGTTGTGTTGGTTAACCCCAAGAGGAAGGGGAGAGTGTCTAAGTGTGCAGGACGGTGGGATGAGGAAAGAAGAGAGGCAGAAGAGAACGGAGAGAAGGAAGCTAATAGGTTCCTCTCAGAGTATTTTGTTGTGCTTAAAACACCCAGGAAAGAGTCCCAATAACAACTCAGAGCTACAACAAGTCTACCTCTACAGAAGTGATCATTGAGATCCTAAAACTTTTATTTTCAAAATAGATTAATTAGAAATTTTCTGCATACTGTAGGGAAGGAAAAAATAATTCTTCCTCTACCCTTCTGAGTTCATAGGTGGGACCCCTATAATAGAAGGATTGACAAGAGAAAAACAAGTTTATTAACATGAATGCCTCATGTGTACATGGGAGATACTCAGGGAAAAATGAGTAACTCCCATGGGTGGCTTAGATTCAGAATTAAATACCGTCTTAAAAGGTAAGAGGAGGAGAGATGTAAGCCTCTTAGTAAATGGGGATTAAATGGATATTAGGAAAGATGAATGGGCCCTTACGAGCACAGGTAAGAGATACGATAATGACAAAGTTGTTCTGGGTGTGGTGCTGACTTCTAGTCCCCTCCCTGTGACAAGAGTCAATCTTCTCTGGTTGAGGAAACTCCCAGGGAGGGGATTGATGACAACTGAATTCCTTTTGAGGGATCTTCTTCAGGCAGATAAGGGAGTTCAGAGAAGCCTCTCCCTGTACTTACTGTCTTTCAAGTGCCTACAGCTCAAGATCATCTGTATACCACAGCTGCCTGTGTTGGGGCAGCAAGGTCTGAACTCCTGTAGTCATTCCCCAACTGGTTCCTGAGGTTGAGGTTTTCTTTCACTTCTACTGAACACTTTTATTAATAATAGGATCTGGACTGGCCACTGAGCAGCTCTGTGTCCCATCTCATCACCCATTTCTACTCATGGAACAGTTAGCATTAGAATGCCATAGTGGGGGACACCTGAGTGGCTCAGCAGCTGAGCGTCTGCCTTCGGCTCAGGGCCGAAGGGGTCCCGGGGATCCAGTCCTACATTGGGCTCCCTGCATGGAGCCTGCTTCACCCTCTGCCTATGTCTCTGCTTCTCTCTCTGGGTCTGTCATGAATAAATACATAAAATCTTAAAAAAAAATTTTTTTTAAAGAATGTCATAGTTGAAGGTGTAGCCTAGGATTCTTACAGAAACAATTGGTTCACTGAATTTAACTTGGTAAATAATACAGCAAACACCCATTGAAGTATACTATTTGCCTGGCACTGGCAATCCCTAATCACCAATTTTGCTGGAAGAAACTGAATCATTTAAAAAAAAAAGTAGCTAATTTAGCTTATTTCTTTAGCTTCATTTGATGGATAATGTGCTAAGGAAGGTAAAATCAAAGTCTCTACCTTTTAGATATTTATCATGTTATAGGCAAGATGATCTATATGGAAATTAGTAGACAACTTCATTGATACAACTGCTTATCCTGGCAACATATTTCTTCTTCCTTTTTTCCAAAAAAAGAAGAAAGGAAAGTTCAATCAGTTCTTTCTTTTCCCTCCACAGCTGGCCCTGCAGTGAACCTTGTATTCACCACTCCCTCCATGGCTTGATATTTCACAATTCCTTTATATTTTTAGGACAGAACATCCCTGGCATTTAGTTTTGTGCCCAATGCAAAGAATATGCTTAATATATATATATATATATTAAATGAATGAAGTGTTAAAAACAAGATAACAAAATCCAAAATAGAGTCATGTATGCTTTGCCCCATGGCATCAAACTGAGACTTACAGTTTTGGCTTTCCTAGAAATGGAATCTTAAACCAGTCAATCAAGAATCACCAAAGGAATAATCAAGTAATCTACCTGAAAACCCATGCCATGCCTTAAAGGAAAGTGACCTTGTCATAAGCAATCTGCTTTTTAAATCTAGGGTAACATGCTTGTTCTTGTTTCCTTCTTCCTAGGAGTCTTTCATTTTGTAGAGCTCCTAGGAATCTGCTCGGTTGGGTGCTGCCTAATTCATGAACTGCTGAAATAAAGCCAGTAAGATCTTTAAAATTTACTTAGTTGAATCTTGCATTTTAGCAGGAGGTAACAAATCTAAAAAGATGCAAACCATAAGTAATAGGAATGTAGCTTAGAGCTCCAAGCAGGTTCTTTAACAGTGGTATTAAAAAGCAAGATCCAACAGAGTAAATTTGAAGAACTAATTAGAATTATCAAAGGATTCATGAATTGGGCAGCCTCCCATCTAGCAAGTAGAAGGGAGCTTTAGGGATTATACAAAATGGAGTTTTTATAAGAAGGAGGATGGGGCTAGAAAGTTACTAGTAAAGGAAAAGAAAAGATTGTTTCAGGCAAGATCACCTTCCTGTGCGGGGAATGGCAGGGAATCTTATTATAGGGCAGATTAATATTTTGATAGTTTCTAACACTACTATCAAAGATTTTAGAAAAAGCATTGAGAAAATAAGACCTTGATATCTCTGTAGCTCTATTTCTATATCTGTATACATAGTCAGTAGTTAAAGGAGTGTGATTCTTTACCAAAAATTATACATACTCCAGGCCAGGCTCACTTCCTGGATATTAGAACCTATCAAATCGTACAAAGTTTTTACAGCCCAAGAAATAAACAAACCAAAAAGTATACAAAATTTGAGACATCCAGACTGGATTCACTGTTTTACTCTTTCAACTTAATAAAATAAGGATACCGTACTCACTTTGTAGGATTATTGTAAAGGTACGATTGATGAAATAAAATATATTTTCTTTTCTTTGTTCAATTACTTGTATTAAATTAATTTAATGTGCTTTACTTCCCTCTTTTGAAGACTGGAGGGTAATACTTTTTGCCTGATTAATTTGGGGTGAAGAAAAGAATGTGTCACTTACGGACTTATATGTCTTGGTATTCTAGTTTTCTACATGCTTTGCTTTATATTTTAGTAATCTGAGAAAGGCAGTTTTAGGTCCATTTGATAGATGGGGTACCGATCCATCCGAGCTTCAGGGAGGGTTAGGTAAATTGTCCTGAATTATACAGTGAACACAGGGTAGGGATGATTGAGTCAAATAAGGCTTTACCTGGTCTATTTTGGGTGCTCAAAAAGGCAAAGGCATGCATACAAAAGGGATTCAATTATTCAGGCCCAATCTCTGAAACTCTTTACTCTTTGATTTTATACCTAAAAGAATATATTCACCCAAAGATCCAAGCCTTTTGCGATAAGCATAGAAAGATAACAGAAGTGGAACAATAGACCATTATTCCAAAGGAATAATTTGCATTCATGAAATTTCCAGGCTACTTTCCACTTTATGGTCAAACTCACTTTCTTCCTTGATTGTCTTGTAAATGACTAAATTGATAATGTAGAAGTTTTTCAAATGTACCCATTGGGCAATAAAGTATATTCTAGAATTGAGAACCTATTTTAAAACTGTTGACTAAAATGTTCATCCGTTGGGGCACCTGGGTAGCTCAGTAGTGAACATCGGCCTTTGGCTCAAGGAAGCTCAAGGGCATGATCCCTGCTTCTCCCTCTGCCTATGTCTCTGCCTCTCTCACATGTATGAGAGACATATATCTCTCATGAATAAATTAATAAAATCTTTCAAAAAATAAAACAAACATAAATGTTCGTCTGTTAAACATCAAACTCTGCCTCTGGACTGGAAACTCACAATGCATTTGACCACAGGGCATAACCTCAAAATCCAAGATTCACTTATTTCCAGAGTTGAGAAAAAACTTTCCAAGTCCTTAGTGTGTTCCAGAGCCTAAAGCAAGAAGACAGTCAAACTTTGGAATTGGGCTTCTGGGCAAACTCATTGGTTCAGCTCACACACAAAGGATGTTGTATTTACTCTGTAGGATCATTATAGGATATATGCTCAGGTGCCCAAAGTTCTAAGCAGTTGGAAGGCAAGGAAATATTTAGAGTCTAAAGGGCAGAGCTTCTTAGAAGTCAGCTCACCAAAGGAGCCCCACGTGTTTGAAAGAGAGTAAGAGCAGCATTTTGCTTAGATACTTGTCAGTGACTGGAGGTTCACTATCAGTTTAAAGAGATGGGCGGAACTAAAGTTAGCTTAAAAATTCCCCACTGGGTGGAGTCTGAGTAGAAGTACCCTGAATTTCTCACACTGAATTCTGACCTATAAGTTTTTAAAGCAATCCTAAGAGATTTCTCTTCTTTAAAGGAGACTGGAAGCTGTGGACCACATCATCGGAAACCTAGCTGGTAAGCACAGAGACGCTGACAATACACTCTGTACACCAATATACAGTCTGTGATTTTTCCAAAGGAAAGTTCTCTCTGCTAGAATCCTTGTTATAATGTTTTAGAGGTTTCTTCTACCAGTTTCTTCTCTTTTTATTCCTCCAAATTGTCTTCATAGAAATGTCACAATCTCCTAATGCCTCCCCCCTCTTTAATATGTTGGGTTAAATAAAGAGAACTTGACCAATGGAGTGAAGAAGAACTGCTGTCAATAGCACTATGCAATTCATTTAGTAAAAGATGGTTACATCTGGCTAATTAAAGTTAATTCTTAGTTACTTGAGGTTAAACGGTAAGATCAGAAAAAAATCAGATCTCTACATGAGTATTAGGTACTATGTTTTCTGGCCATTCATTGTCGTATGATACTATTAGTCACCTTCAATATTTTGAGAAGTGAAAATGTCTATTTCCTAAGCAGAGTTTCTTCCTCTTTCTTTTTATGAAATATTTGCCTAAGAATGGAAAGTTGATATACTTTTTTAAATAGCTGAAAAAGTTTTTTTTTTTTTTTCCTTTTCTGCTTTTGTTTTGAGGAGGGTGGGGTGTTTTAGGTAGTGACAGAGCAAACGTGCTGATCTTATTAATGTGCTGCTCAACATGTAATTCATATAATCTTTGATATGAAATATACAGTTGCCACAGTGAACAATAATGTAAAGAATACTGCTCAGTGTGCACGTATTAAGTGATGTTTCCTTTCTCAGTGAAAAGCTTTGCATTTTCTTTATAGTTTGCCTTGCCAGGTTCTAAACTTTGAACTTGTGTATAATCTGCTCATTTCAGGCATGAAACCTGAAACTGTGTAAACATTAACCACTGAGTGTTCATAGTCATTTATTTAACTATTTAAACTTAGACCCACAGGTGACTAGAAGATCCTGAATTCCAATTTTTTTATAAAAGTTTTAGCTATAAAGTTACAGCTGCCTAATAAAACTGACAGACACAATTTACAAAAATTCCAAAAGCAATTTAGGGTAAAAATGGCAATTACCACTACAAGGCATTAATATTAAAAGGTATTATAAGCATATCTTTTATCTCTTTATAAAGGAGTTTACCTAATTAATTTCATTTGATTCTAACCATGATCCTCTGAAGAAAGTAGAATTCAGTTTTATATAATATGCAGCAGAGAGAAGTTAGGTGACTTGCCTAAGAACAAATGTGTATATATACCCATCTTTTTAACAAAATTAAAATTAAATATGTGAAATATAAACTTTGGAGTTTTTAAAATTTGGATTGCCTTTTTTTTATCTCAAAATAAAAGCATGCCAATTTTTTTAAAAAAATGTGTTTGAGAGAGAGAGAGAGCATGAGCAGGGAAGAGGAGTAGAGGAAGAGGGAGAAGAAGAGTCCCCACTGAGCAGGGAGCCCCATGTGGGGCTCCATCCCAGGACGCTGGGATCATGATCTGAGCAGAAGGCAGATGCTCAACCTACCGAGCCACTCAGGTGCCCAAAAGCATGTCAATTTATTTGGAAATGGGAAACCTACACAAGGCATAGAATTATGGCTTGTAGAACATTGATTGTCTTAGCTAGCAGGGTGAGTGCAGAATGAAGCAACAATTACTATGAGTTAATACATTGCTTCCCTGGAGTGAGAGCACTCTGGTATTGTGGGCACTGAGGACTGTATTCACTTTGGGTCTCTGCTGTGCAGTTTGGCAGGTGAAACCAGGTGCATTTGCCCCAAAAGACTATTTCACCAGCAGATATCTAACTATCAGTGCAGGTGAGTTGTGACCTCTGGGCTGTGTGTGACAAGCCCACAAGTGGGAGCAGTCTCTTTAACCTTTGCCTGGCTGGGACTGGATTGGAAGGATTGATTACTAAGAGTAGATAGATTCATGCCTGCTGTATTTTGCAGATGGAGTACAAAGCTGAAAAATAAAGAAGGAAGTTAGGGAAAAAAAGAGATAACGAGCCAAAGAAATATTTTTAAAAAATCATGAGGAAAGATAAAAGGAAAAATTAAATAAGAGGTCCAGGAATTCTGTTTGTACATTTTACCCACATGCCGTGCCAAAGATGAGCATGGTTGACTCAGTTCCTCAAGTGAAGTGCAGTCCCAAACAGTGGACTTTCTTATCCTTCTCTTATCTTTTTGTTCTACACTGTTGATTCCAGAGTTTATTCTGGAAGTGGAAGAAAATTATTCCGATCCTACAAGATTGCTATACGGATTAAATAAGAAACAAATACAAAAACGGTAAAGAATTAATATGAATAACTTTAAGTAAAGAAGATTGGACTTTATGTGGAAATATGATGGTAGCAAACTAATTTGTATATTTATGTAGGGAACCCATTCAGAGTTTACAGTCAAGATCAATGAACCCTCAAAGTTCTGACTCTCAAGAGACATTCCTAGATATAAGGCAAGATCTCTTGATTCTTAGTCTCATTAAAAATGTTTTTCGAATTAATTTTCATGTGATTGGCATAAGAAGGGTATCCCTCTATGAATAGTCATCAATTGTGTGAAATCAAGCTATTTTGTGCATTCTTATTAAGTTGATGTTTTAGGAGAACACTCTCCCTAAAAACCACTGCTCAGGAATGGAATGGCTACAAAGATAAACAAGATTTAGGTCTCCAGGTAGAATATATATAGTTCAGTAGGGTAGACTAGCAACTCAATTAAGCCACCATAAGTAATGGGTTTATAATAAAAACACACTTAGTAGGCAGAAGACAACTCATGGGATTCTCAGGACAGCCAATTCCGTAGGTGGCCTTCCACCTTACACACACTTTGTTGCATGGAAGGATTCAGTGACTCTCCAGACTGGCTGCTCCCGTCACCTTTCAGGAGACAGAGCTGTTTCATCCCCTGCCATTGCATAACTAAGCTGATTCTTAATTTTGCTGAAATCACTTCATATTAACAATCAGTGGTTCTGTTTGACTTTGAAAAAAAAATGAGTCGCTTGTGACAATACTCCCTCTAGACCCAACCATTTTATCATTGCTTTCCACGATGTTTAAAATTTTTTGCTCCTGTCTCAAATTGAATAAATATCTGTACCTCATAGCTAAGATTCCTGGAAGAATTTGATTAGATGCTTAGCTAAACACCATCATGATTGTTTGGCTAAAGCATTCACAGCAAGTCACTCACAGACCATTGACAACACAGTGCATTGTCTCCAGTGGGTCAAGTATCTAAGAGACATCTAATAATTTGTAACCAGTCAATTGATGATGTCAGGTGGAGGAGACATAGTCATCTTTTTCAAAAGGCAGATTATTTCATCAGAAGGCAATAGGTGGAACCTAGGCAGAATCAAGTTGTAGGCATGGCAACATATTTCAGCTTTCCCAACCATAAAAGGCATCTAAAAAAATAATAGTGTCTGGCAGGATTCATTACTTATGAGTAAAGGTGTACTCTTAACTGTTACAGGTATCTAGAGGGGGAAAAACTACTTTTAGTTGAGACACATGAGGGCCTCAGGGGAGAGGGGGAAATGGTAGCCTTTGAACTAGGGCTTTGAAGGGGAATAGGATGTAAATATGTAGAAAGGGAAGTAGAACATTTTAGGCAAAGGAAATGACATGAGAAAAATCAGAGATAGAAAGTTTCATGAAAGAGGCAGATAATTTAGTATGGTCAGAAACTGAAAGAACAACCAACATCAATGTTGAAATCATTGACTTTTGTACAAAAACATGGATTGGAGCAATTGGGAGCTATTATTGGCATCAAAGCTAAAAACATGCTCAGATCAAACTCAGTATCCTTATTTGAGAATGTACAGAATAGCTTACCAGGGGAGACCACTGGCAACTGAGAAAGGAAGAGGTCAGATATATAAGTAGAATTCACGTTTAGAGAATGGGAAGTATGCTTGTTTTACTGGCATTGTATGTGCAACTCTTTATTGCCTAAAGTGTGATGGTCAGAGTGAGAGACAGGAGGGTGGTAAGTAGAAGTAGATGATTGAACTGAGGTTTGAGAGCCTCATCTCTGTTAGTTTTAGTTGGTTCTCAGGATTTCTAGGCTTTAAGTATAGTCTACGAGATGGAAAATATCGAGCTTATATCTTGTGATCTAATTTTCTTCTGAGCTACATATCTAAACATCCAATAGCCAGTTTGTTATTTCTACCTCAAACTTTGTGTCCTAAATAAAACTTTGATTTCCCCCCTTAAAATGTTTCTTCTCTAAGTATTTCTTATTTCACTACTTTGAACCTATTTCCACAGACCCCTCACCAGAGAAAATCTATCTACCTTTCCCCAAAAATATATAATGAATTCACACACTTCTCTGCTTTTTTCCTCATCACATTTAATTCACCATCATTTTTCCCTGGACCACTAAGATAGCCTGAATTTGCCTATCTTTTTCAAGTCCTTCTAACTCATCAGAGAGTAGAAAAAGTGATTTTTATTTCATGTAAAATTACATCCTATCACTTTCCTACTCAAGATACTCCAACAATTTCCCACTAAACTTGGAAAAATATCCAAATTCCTTTCTGGCTTCAAAGTTCTTCATAATTCTGCCCCTGCCTCATACTTCCCTAGTGCCTTAGCTGATCAGGCCAAGCCGATCCCCACCTCAGGATCTCTCTACTTTCTGTCATCTCTTCCTGTTCTTCACACGTTTGATCCATAATATGATTCAGATATGCATGGATATCCCTGCCTCAGAGAGGTACCCTCGCCCTTGCCATGGAAGTCATTCCATATCCTCTTGACTATCCCTTTATTCTGCTTTTTTTTTCTTTTTTACTCACAGCTCTTGAAACTCTGAAATTCTGTTGTTTAATCATATTTTCCCTTTTCCACTAAAAATTAAACTCTAAAAATTTATTACTTATACTCCATCTTTTACACTGCTCTTCCACGAGTGCTTAGAGCTACATGGTTGGTGTTCAACAAGTACTTGGAGTAATGGAGGGGTGTGTAAGTGGAGCCACAAAAGTATGAATTTGTAGATCAAGCTACCTGAGAAAATTTTTCTTCTCTAATACTATTCTTTCTCAATTTCAAAAAAAACTAAAACTTCAGGAAATAGAAATAAATCAATATAAAGAAAGTTTGGGTAAAGTTTAAGAATGTGTAGTTAAATTTCTGTTGTTACTTTTTCCCTCCAGAAAATTAAGTTTTCTTTCCAAAATTGTGAAAAATTTTAAATGATGATTAAACAGAGCAAAATGTAGTTTCAGAGAATATTACAGGGTCCTGCTTTGTTCTAAGATGGAATGTATAGTTTTGAAAGATAAGTTTTTCATTATCAGTAACAGGAAGAGCTCTTTGGTCTTCATATGACAAAAATTATTAACATTATTTAAGGTAAAGTTACTTTTTTATCAATACTGTTTTCATTCACAATAAAGACTTTATTAAGGTTCTATTATATATATCTCCTTAATTCTAAAACTATGATACAAGAACCACTGGGATTAAAATAGTGGAGTGGAAGTAGAACAGGGAGAAGGACAAGTTAGGTGGGGCACTTTTCACAAAAGCATCCTTATTTTTCCCCCTCATAAGACATCTAGAGGAAAAGGTGATGAACTTATATGTGTTTGAAAGTCACTAATTTGATCCATTTTCCAAAAAATAAAAATGAAAAGAGCTAACATTTATTATGATCTTACTCTGTCCTGACAACCATTACCTAATTTATTACTTTCAACATCTCTAAGTTACTATCATTTTCTTTATTTCAAACGTGAGTAAAACTCAAACATGAAGTTTAGTGCTGTTTGAGTAATTACATTATTTCTGAGGTTGGGAAGATGAGACTCTTATTTAAGACAAAAGGTTCTTTACCTAAAAGGTTAATTTTCTGCAGAAAAAAAAGGATGGTGGCTAAATTGTTTTTAATTCTTTTTCATTTTTAGAGAAATAACTTGTAATGGAGCCTTTACCACTTGAGTTACCAGCTGACACAGTGCAACGCATTGCATCTGAACTTAGATGTCACCCAACAGATGAGAGGGTTGCCCTCCGCCTGGATGAAGAAGATAAGCTGAGGCACTTCAAGGAGCATTTTCATATCCCCAAAATGCAAGATCTACCTGCAAGTAAGAACACTGGAAAGGATTTTATTTTTCTTAATTAATTTATTAATTCATTTTTGCTCACGCACATGTTTATCATAAATCTTTGAAATCATTGTTCTGTTATATAATAGAGCTATTGTAATTATGACTGAAAAACAGCAAGTTCCTTGGTGCTACTAAATCAACCTGTCAGCCTACCTTAGCTTCAGATTCTTTATGTTCCTTTTCTTCTTCTGAATAAAATACGTACAGGGTTTTTATACTGTCATCTACCTCTTTGAACAATAGAGTGACTGATTGAAAATTATAGGCAGACGCATTTACTTGTTCTTTAAGAACTTAGAGCTCAAAACAATTTCTTTTCAATACAGTATTAGAATATCTCTTATTTTGTGGCACTTAGTTTATTATAACATGATATGTGTCTTAGAGGCAATATTATTTTGGGATTTGGATATATTAAGATGTTATGTGAATAACCATCTTTGAGCTGTAAGTAAAGATGGCAAGTATAAGACAAAAAAAAGAAAGGAAAAGAAAGAAACAATCAATAGCTAAGAAAGGCAATACTGTATTGTTGTCTTTTAAATAATGTCAGAAGCTGACTCTGTTCCTAGTTTGGGGGATGTCCTACTTTAAAAAAAATAGTACAGATATAAAAAATAATGACTTTTATTTGCTCCATTTTACATCAGATTGAATAGAATTGATCCACCAAAATGGTTTTCAGATACTTTATAATACAGTTTAACTTTCAGTTTTCTTTAGATTAAGTGAGGCAGATATAATTTTGGATACTCATAATCCAAAAGCATCAACTAATATGATTTTAGAATGATATTGGGTCACACATCTGTCCTATTTGGTGTATATGTTATTATGTAACCCAGGAAGTTGCTCTGTGAAATTATAAAAGGATAAAATAAGAGATAGACCTATATCCGATTTAAAGTTTCTTAATATCAACTGAGGTAGACATTGATATAAATGACAGCTCTATGACCTAATAAAATGGGGTAAGTGAAAGGAACTTACATCTACAGAAAGAAAATCTAGGTCTTTCTAGAATCTAGAATGAAAAGACACTTTGATTTAAATCTTAAAGGATCAAAAGAACTTTATATGTGAAAAATGAAGAAGGTAAGTCTAGGGATACTGTTTCAATGATATGAGAGAAGGTTGCCTGGTGACATGCAGCACACAGGGTGGAAGTCCCCTGAAATACCCACGGCCCTCTTGAGACCAGTCAGCTCTGGTGACCCTGCCCCAATATGTTCTCCAGCCCATGGGCTGCCTGGGAGATTTGATGGGTTCCTAGCCTGGAGGCGACAGCAGAAGCCGGGAGTATCACAGAGCTTTAGGTGGCCTTCAGAAAATGCAACAAGAACTATAAATCAAGAATTAGGGCACTACAACTTTATGAGATTTATTAGAAGTTGTAATTGCCTCAAGATTTAAAAAAATAATAATAATTATATTCCTTTTCATGAATGATAGGAAAAGCAGACGTAGCAAAGTAAGCAAACAAAAATACTAACAAGATCTATCCAGTGAGGACAGATGATGGTATTACAGGGGGAAAGAAAAACATGACATCAGCACCGGGGAGAGAAAGTGGCCGGTAGTCTAGTGTGGCTGCAGCTTGGGCTGTTTTGGGAAATGAGGCTGAGTAATGGGCACATCCAGATACACCTGAACAATGACTACTTCTGCACATGAGAGGTGATGTACTTGGGGGTTTTGGTTTCTTTGTCTGTCTTACTTTTCTTAAGGTGCCTTTCTTCCATATAATAGAAGGAAGGAGGGCTCAGCCCTGAATTTCAAGACTGTTGAAAGGGTACAGGGAAAGTTAAAACCCTATTTGAATTTATCACTTTTTCTGTTACTGAACCTATGACTCATTGACTAACATGACTTCATTCTCATGCCGAGTTACTTGCATGCAACAAAATATTTATTAGGTACCTTTTCACATTCCTCTCTGTCTTGGAACTTCCTTTCTGTCCCATCTCTCCATGGCTGAATGGATTTGAAAGACATTAACAAAATCCATCCTGTTTGTCCAGGGAGGCACTGTTATCTGAGATTGCTGTGACTTCTTGCTCTAACTCTAGCTGTGTGAGTTTAAGAAGCAAGCAGCCTCTCAGAACCAAAATTCCTCCATGTGGAAAGCTCAAACACTGCTCCAAAACCTATAGGGACATGCTGAGCATGAAAATGAGATTATGTTAAGTGAGCCTAAGAAAAGGCCAGCAGGTTTAGTTTCCTTGCCTCTTTAATACAGACTTTTGACTTCAATAGAGATTTTTAATACTGGTTCAAGACAGGACTCTTTTACCAAGAGTTAAGATAATTTAATCAGAACCCAGGTAAAAATAGCATTATATATATAATGACTTCATTAGACTTAAGAGTTGACTCTAGTGTCCTGATTACCATTATAATATTTGTTTAATTAGATATTTAATAGGAAGTACAAAAATTACAATCTAGGATAAATTTTCCTGATTCTTTTTTTTTAAGATTTTGTTTATTTATTTGAGATAGTGAGACAAAGCACTAGCAGGGGGAGGGGCAGAGGGAGAAGCAGACTCCTTGCTTAGCAGAACCCTGGGATTATGACCTGAGCTGAAGGCAGATACTTAACTGACTGAGACACTCGGTGCCCCAAATTATTCCTGATTCTTAATGCAATGTAAAGAGAAGGAAAATGAATTGACTTAATAAAAAATCTGAACAATTTATCTGTTTAAAAAATACAGTTTTGAATGATGTCAAAATAGACGTCTTTAACCCCAGGAGTTCTTCTAAATTCATTATTGTCAAAGTCTGTGGGTTCCTGAGCAGCCCAAAGAGGATTACCAGGGAATTTACTAGAATGTGCAAGTTCTTGGGTCCCAAACCAGAATAACTAAATCAGGGACTCTGAGGAGACCCCACTCACCTGTTTTAGATCACTTAGGATGATGCTGCAGAGAGATAATCAGTTAATTCTTATTCTCACTACACTCCCTCTAGGTGATTTTTACTTTGCAAGGATCCATTCTTTCAACAAGTATTTATTAAGCACTTAACTCTCTTCAAGACACTATTCTCAGAACAGTTTATCAGTGAACTAAAGAGCAAAGTTATCACATATCTGAGTTTTTATTCTAGTATAAGTAGACAGAAAATAAAAACAATGTGATGTATACTCTACTCTCAGGCAGTGCTCTAAGTGCTGTGAGGCCTGCCAGGGTGTGAGTAACGTTCTTTTACTCAGGGCCATCTGGGAAGGAAACCCTGATGAGACCTGAGCAGAGACAAGAATGAGGTGAGGAAGTGAGCCTCATGATTACAAAGGTGAAGACGACCCCGGAGGACAAAGTTCACCAGGCTCAGAGGCAGGTGGTGTGCAAATTTCCTCCCCCTTTCTTTTTGACAGATAAGAATCCATCGTCATCATCATCATCATCATAATCAATATATAAATAATAAATAAATAATATGTGTGATACATTATTATTTATTATTATAAATATATAAATAATTAACAATAAAACCTTCCTGGAACATCCAAAAATGGTATTGCCTCTCAAACTAATAAAAGAGACCAACATAACGCTAAGGACAAATGTTCTTTGGTAACTCTGAATAATGAAAAGCAAAGAGCATGAATAAACAAGTTTTGAACAAATGAAAGGATCATGACTCCCAATATAGGCTTTAAAGATTCCAAGGGAAGGCTGTAGGCACAGCTTGTGCATTTCCAGTATTCTATCATTAAATATAATGTTTCCTCGGGGTTTCTAAGAGAAAGTTCTAGCAAAATAAGTCTAGTTTTTTTTTCTACTCCTAGATAGTTTTGAGATGTTGTTAAAGAAAAGGATCAAGATTATTTGTATTCAGCTGGTATTGCACTTATGTTCAACATTGTTCTAAAGACCATACCCCCAAAATAACTCTCTCTCTATCTCTCTCACACACACACACACACACACACACGCATATTCCAATGCATGTACAAAGAAAAATGAAGAAACATGCAAAGACATAAATATTGGAAAGGACCTGTCTAAATTTCTTGAAATTATTCCTATTTAGAATATGCTTATTCCTAAATCTCTGGGAGGATATTGGATAGTTCCATAAGATAAATTGGTTTTGCAGAGATACAAAACAAATGTTTTATGGTAACTTGATTTAATAGACAACTTAATAGATAATTTAATAGACAACTTAAGATACTTAATAGACATAACAAATATGTCTATTTGTCAAGTTACCAAACTGACTTCCACTTCTATATACATGCCCTTCAGAAATAAAGGCACTTGTCTCACTGACATCTTTGCTCATTTGATAATCAAAAATTTTTCCTTCCTTCTTTGAATTTGCGTATCTTAAACCAGTGCTTGATATTTGTTTTTTATAAACTCCTTGGCCATTTGCTTTTCTTAAAAAGCTTTAATTTTCTCTCTGTGGGTGAAATTTATTGCTTCTATGTATTTTATTTTTTAATTGATTTTAACTTTTTTAAGACTCAGATATCAACAACTCGTTTTCTTTAAGGAATTTTAAGTGAATTTGCTCAGTCCACGTAACCAGACAGTATAACCAGAAATGGATTCCAAATTTTGTGACTCCTGCTCCACTTCTCTCAATTCAAAGCTATTATTTTTTAAAAAGTCATTAGCAGCTGGCTGGCTTAGTTGGTGGAACATGTGACTCTTGATTTCGGGGTCATGAGCTCAAGCCTCACATTGGACATAGAGCTTACTTAAAAAAAAAAAAAAAAGAAAGAAAGAAAAGAAGAAGAAATTACTCAATTGAGTTGTGATCTACCATACTATAGAATCCACTTTGTTTTATGCCCTACAAGATAACTCCAGGATTATTTATCTTAAAACTGAGAGTTTGTACCTTTTGACTATTTTCACCTCTTTTGCCTACCTTTCACCCTGCATCTTTGGCCACCACCACCAATCTGTTCTCTGTGTCTATGAGTTCACTTTATGTATTCATTCATTCATCCATTTATT